TAATTCAGCCCATACTCAGACAGAATGTCTCACTGAAATCCACAGGGGTTCTGCTTTTATTATCTTTCAAAGGGAAATGTGGAGGCTTTGTGGTTATTTACCAAAGACGGTTAATATATTGAGTGCATGTGCATACAGGACAAGGTGTTCCGTTGTGGAGTTCTCCATGGTCACGTAGCAATGGAACTTGGAGGGGACCAGAGGGTGAACTCAGGCTAATCCTTCACACCTATTTTTTCTTCTGTATTTGACTGCCTCTTGCACTTAAGACTCCAAAACGGGAAGGTGGCTGCCCAGAGAAAAATCTGGGGTGAGCTCTTTTGACTATGGCTGCGTTCTGAAGGATTCTCTAGTAAAGGGAAGAGGTGAGTATGGGATGGATGAAGATTGCTTGTGGCTCTAGATCACAGAGCTCTGCGGATTTAGAGGTCAGGGAGCCTCTCGCCAGAGAGAAGATATGGAAAAAGAGATTCCGTGTTTGGCAAGAAAGAAGCAGTGAAAAGATGGGTTTACTCGGATTGTGACTGGTTTGGAATTCAGAGAAAAAAAAAAAAAAAAAGGTTTCCATTTGTATTCAAAGATGTAATAACATATGTAACAGAGTTGGCTTCAGCAGCAAGACACTTGTATAGTTTGAAAAAAAAATATCTAAACACAGAAAATGAAATATATTTGTATTATGTTAGGAAAATGCAATCTATTATATTACTTTATAAAATTATATGATCTCTACTGTACCTGCAAAGTCTAGAAACTGAGATAACTTCTGCTTGGGAAGTATATGCAAACATACACCTTGGTAAACTTCTGTTTGAATTTGCTGGTACAAATTTGTAGTATAAATAAAAAGTCACCTATAAATTTGCCTTGGCATAATTTCTTTTTTGTCAAATTACTTATAACCGTAATATCTTTTTTTTTTTTTTAAACTGAATCAGTATAACTCCACTGACTTCTAAGAAGTTATTCCTGAGTTACACTGCACTGACAGTACTGAGTATGACTGCTATGTCTGAGATTACGTAAACTGTAATTAGTGTAGGTGAAATTGGTAGCTGGATGGGTAGGTCTGGGAAATTAAATCTTGGGTTTCTTCAAAGATAAATTTTGAAGTGCTTGTGACAAGGCACTCATCTTTCTATCATCGTTTTTCAGACCTGTTCCAGAGATTTACCTTTGCAGGGCAAAAATTATCTAGGCTGTCTTTGTAATAGATCTTATATTTCGGCTGAGATAATAAAGACAGATAACAATTAATGCAAGATGTGAAATGACTGTCAGCCTACATGAGACTTGATAGAGACCTTCACAAAGAGCCTCTTGATTGGTTGTCAGAGATAATTTTCCTTCACTGTCAAATTGGGCCGTATGCTAACCTGCAATCAAGAGGTGAATGATTCTGTAGTGGCACATGAAAACTATTAAATAGTCTTGTTTTAAATAGTCTGGGCTGAACAGAACATAAAAAAAGACAATTATGAAGAAGCTTGTGGATGATGTTACATGCAGTGAGCTTCAGACTGTGCAATTCTATACATATTCTACGCCAAATTTATGAATGAACGCTCAGCTGCTTCATAGGGATGGATGCACGCGGACTTGCCTATTGGAAGGAATGCAACATGCCGAAATGAAAATGAGCAAACATTGGCTCTGAGCAGGTCCTGGAATTTCATGGGGCTGAAAATACTGTAGTGAAACTCTTTTTCATTGACAGTATGTTCCAGCCTCCTCTGTGCATACTGTCCCTGCTTCTAGGCAACTGGACATGCAGTTGCTCGCTCCAGTTTAAATGGGTCCTCCTGGGACTCTTACAGGAGCTGTGTACCGTGTAGTCTGCAAAGACAGGGTTATTTCTTCTGGTCTTAACTTCTGTGAAACGCAGTGTCTTAAATTCAAACAAACGTGGTAATTGCTCCTGTCATTACTTTTAGGACAATGAGTGTATTTGTTTGCTGGCAGGAGTCCCTGCAACTACTTCTTTATTTTCTCATGGTATTCTTTTCACTGTCAGCGCTAGTAGTTAACATGTTATAATTCAACTCCTACTCTGGGCAGGCTTCCCCCTGCGTTCACCAGGCAAGTATGCTGGCTGCAAAGATAGGATGTTAATTCCCACAGTTCATGTGAACTGTAGGACAGAGGACGAGATCAGTACGTTCTCACGATTCTCTCGTAATGCCAGTAGTTAATGATCCATTGAACTTTTTCCTTTGTGCTAAATATCACCAAAACAACATGTTTATTTTTCTTCCTTCTTATGGTGATGATAGTAGATGGAGTGCAACTGTCTTGCCTTCTCCACCTTTGTGCGAATGGCCAGAACATACTGATAATGTCCCTTTGCACTCTGAGGCTGCAGTTGTGTGCTCACCTCGTTATATCCCATCTCTGGAATGGAAAGAGTAAGAAAATGTAGCTGTACTTATTCGCAAGTTTCTTTTTTAAACCAAAAGATCTTCATATACTGCCCATTCCGGAATGAGTAAGAATAGAAAACGAGCATCCAGTTCTCCGTGGATCCCAAAGTTTTCATTTGCTATTGTTCAATGATAATCACTGCTTTTTTCGCTCAGGGTATAGTTAACAGGATATATCATCAGCAAAGGTAGATTAGAGTTTATGTGAGTGTTAAGGGGATGGCCATTTCCTCATTACTCGGTGACACCAATCCAATTCTGCAATCAAACAGATCTTATTCTCTCCCCCCTGCCCTTCACCTTCAAGGAATTTACAGGTAGGTATGGGTAAATCTTCCTAGCAAGGTTATGCCAAAAACTTCTTCCATTTTTTTCTGGTAAGTTTTAGCTTTCTTTTTTGTTTTTTTTTTCTTTTTCTTTTTTTTTTTTTTTTCCCCCCCAGTGACCATAGTTGAGCCCAAACAACTTGTTTTGTAACTACCAAATGTTCAGTTTTGGTGTTTGCAGAGCTCTACAGATCCAGGTTTCTTTATCAGGGCTAATGTTTTTTTAAATTTGCGTTTTGGTGCAGATGTGTTACAGATGATCTATCTGATAACAGTAACTAGTGCACATTAATATTATGGCTTAATTTTTAAATTTTTTAAAACTATAAATCATTTGCATTTTCTTTTGCTTTTTAACAGGGGAAACAAAGGCTGAGGTAATGCTTCTGCCATCCTTTGCTTTTGGAAACTATTTGTCTATTCAAATATTTACTTGTCTACTGGTGACTCATTGTTATATATGGATCATTTACTCTGCTTGCAGTAGGTTAGCAGTAAGTGTTGAAAGCTTACTAAGGGACTGGTTTTTAACAGTTACTTATCATTGTAGTTGTACTTTTGGGGATGAAAGACTAATTAGAATGGTTATCTACAACTAAGAGAGAAGAAAAAAGTTGTACTGTAAACTGGCAGTGGTATTCTTTCTGCGCATGTAACACAGGAAGAGAATTGGATTCAACTGTCTGTTATTCCCGTACAATTCCATTCATTTCATTACAATTGTGGGAATAAGTCCCGAGTTGTTGAAATACCGGTGTTTAGAATGTATTTATTTACACTGTGATGGCTGTGCTTGAAAAATAAACAGGTTGGAACCGCTGCTATAATGAAAAAGCTCAAACGGTAAATTTTAGAGGCAAAGAAAAACGTGCAGGTCAGCTGTCTGCTCCGTTGAACTGGGCGGCTGTGTTTGCTGTGCTTGGAGTCCAGCGGGAAGGTGGGTCGTATCCTGCGCGGGCAGGAGACCGGTGTGTGCTGCTGGGCACAGCCGTGCCGTGAGGGAAAGCTCCCTGTGCTTCCCAGGGGCACCCTCCTCCTCCTCCTCCTCTTCCTCTTCTCCGGTGAACAGGTGATGGTGGTAAAGGCAAAGCGGGGTTGGTTCTTGTGTGTCTTATCGTTATGGTTTGAGAAACCCACAATTTATTGTCCTTTAGAGAATTATTCTCTCACCTGATGACCCCTTCCCCCCCCAGGAAGGGGAATTGGGGAAAACCAAGGAAACCCGAGGGCTGATTGAGTCTTCATTGAGAAAAACGTAGGCAAAAAATCTCACTAACTTGACATTTTTGATCGTTTGGATGCTAATGTCATTGCCTGAGTACATAGAAGTAATATCTGGTGGAAAGATTTTTTTGTGAAAAATTTCTCTTTAGCTCTTAAAAATGCCCTTGTCAAGCAACAGAGGCCTAAATTCCAGTTGGTGTAAAAATAATGGACAGGAATATATTATACATGTGTATATTTTATTACTATTTGCTGACCACCATTAATTAATTCAGCAGTGTAGAAGTACGGTTCCATGAACATGAGTGTGAAACTCAGGGCAAAGGGAATCGAGAGGGATTAATTAGGATTCACATTTTGCAAATGTCTGAAATTAAGAAATAGGTAAACAATCTGAATGTAAAGAAATTGTGGTAACAGTAACCAAATATTTAGGTTTTGCTGTTGATTGACTTAAGACAACTTCCCCTTCAGCTCAGATGAGCTCCCTGTTACCCTTTCCCGCACATCCTTGTAGCTGTGCGGAGAACCTGTGCAGCTGACGGTGGTACGTTGCCTCACTCTGCGGGGACGAGGTACCCATCTTTTAGGAGTTGCAGCCCCTACGCTGGGTACCCAAGTTGGACTTTAAATGGAGATTTTCAGAATGGCATATGTTTTGGGGGGGGTGAGTGAGTTCTGTGTCGCATCTGTGAATGAACACTGGATTCATAAGCTACTTACGTAGCTCATAGTTGTGTATGAGCTGATATTGGATGTGTACATTTCCACAGTATTTTACAAATGTATTATGAGTATTATTTTGAAAGAGTATTATGAGTATTATTTTGAAAGAGTTGCTACGGTGGCTTGTGCAGTGGCCAGAAGATTAGATTCTTTCCATTTGAAGACCTGATACCTCAGTCTGAAAAATGTAATTATCGTCTTTGAGAAGACTTTCAGTGTGTTTTTAATTTAAAGCTGAAACAAAAGTTAGAGGTTGGTCGGTAGTGCAAATAATACTTTCTGATTATTTTATTTACATCTATAGAATAAAAAACCTAACAATGGAACTTAAAACCAAACAAGATGAATTAAAAAATGTGAAAGAAGATTTGCGGTATTTCCAAGAAGAAAAGGAAGCTGCCTATAAGCAATCACAAGTGCTCAGGTGAGAACTCAGAAAGAAATGCCGCAGTTGTGCCTCCTGTGGACGCCTACAATCAGTTGAGAGGATTGCATGGAGGTGCAGGGACAGGCAGGGAGCATACTGCGAGTGAGAAGAGTGGTTGTAACCAGTCTGGCGTCTCGTACTTCTCCAGAATATCGTGAGACGCTGTAGCGCTAGCAAATGTAACCGGAAAATATCATTGCTGATTGCTGATGTTATTAGCAACAGAATCAGTTCTTCACAAACTTAAAAACATTAATTAACACTTGAAAGTAAGTGTGCACCGCTTTTAATGCAGCAGAAATACAGTATGCCTTACGTATATGGTTTATAAAGAGTCAGCATAAGCTTGGACATATAGTCATTGAAACATTATTGCACTGGTTTCTCAGTAAAACGCGATTGTACAGTTGTCAATACAGTTTTTTTAATTTGTACGTATAAGTTTTCAATCAACATTTAGAAGGGAGAAATTTGTTATAAATATATTCAATGTACACCATTTCATACACGGACTTATTGTAACCCAACGTACTCTAAATTATTATATAATTTAACAGTAGTTGTCAAGTTTACCAAGTTTACAAATAGTATTTTGTCATATGTTGGGTATTATTTTTGTCTTGCAGAAATACATTGGAACACCATTGCTCAACTCTGAACAAGGCCGTCTCACTGTTTCCTTTTATTAGAAGTGAACTAGACAGTATTAAAGAAGCAATCTCCAGTAATCTAGAGAACTGGGCTGCCCTGAAGGAAGAAATTTTTCTACAAATAAAAACTGTTAGCAAAGAAGCTTTGACAGGTAAATCATCATCTTGCAATAATTTTGGCAAGATAAAAAAAATTTGGGGGAGTTGAGTGTAACATGGTAAATTAGAAAGTAAAATTAATTATATAATTGTAATTCTGACATTAATTTGTCTGTATCCAAAATAGTAGACGCTATCAACTGCTCTGGCACCGTGTGGAGGGGGTTGAACAGTCCAGTTCCCATGGGATTAGTGTGCTGGACTAGCTGGTCAGTTAGCCGAGTCAGGCTGAATTGGAAGTAATGTAAATGCTTACCGTGATTTGAAACATAAATAATATACTTATTATGAATATATGGATATGGTTGCAACACAAAAGCTTGCAAATACTTTAATTTGCCTTGTATCTCCTATCGCCTCCTTTTCCCACGTGCTCATGTATGCAGACGATGCTTTACAGCAACGGTAGGATATCCTTTTGGGGAGGCGCTGGAGCGTCCTGCAGCGCCGCCCGCTCCTCGCGTGGGCCGGCTGCACCTCGTCCCGAGAGCAACCCCCTGGTGCGCACGTCGGGTTGCCTTGGGTCCATGAGCCACTGCCTACCAACAAACCTGCACCCAGCGCGTACCAGCTACTCCCTCTGTCCGCTCCCGAGGAAGAACAAGTGATACCCAAATACAGCTGTCTTTATCTGAGGGGTCTCTGGGACTGAAAGGGGCACGGAGCAGCCCATGGGCCGAGAATAATTCCCTTGGCCCCCGGCCGGCTTCCTGCCCGAACAAGGGCAGCCTTCGGGGAAAGAGGAGCTGGGAGGGAGTCACAACTGCTGGCTTGTTCGCGAAGGTCGTGCCCAGCCCTCAGGCTGGCGGTCAGACTTGAAAACTCGGGTTTATCCTTGAATACCGTTTTTGCTCTGCCTCAGTTAAGAGATTAGTTTTGCTGAAAAAAGGGTGCAGTAGCGTAATTACAGCCTGTACCGTCCAGAGCATCCAAGTTGACTCTTGCAACTTTAATGGTCTTTGGACATAATTTTCATATATGTATTCCTTTCCTTGTAGCTTTTCAGTGTGCTCTGTGTGTATGAGTTGATGAGCTGCTACTTGTTCCGGAATTTAATTTTATCAGGGTTATAAGGTAGCAAAGAAGTAGGAGAGATGATGTCATGCTTTCTGTCCTTGTGAGAAGGAATATAAGGGCATGCTGGACGATGGGCATCTCCTGAATCACTCTGCTGGTGAAACCGTGTGAACTCCAGTGCAAAATCACAGCTCAAGTGAAACCTGCGTGCCCGGACTATCTCAGAAAATATGTAGCTTCACTTTAAATAAGAGTTCCCCAGCAGCCTATGCTTCCTGTGGAATTAGAAGTAATTTTTAATGTTTTCAATGATTGCTTTGTTCCGACTGGGAAGAAATAAGTGGGGCGGCTGTGCCGCAGGAGCGAGTAGGCACGCATCCCACGGAGACAGCGCCTGGGTCCCGGCAGAGACTGCGGGGCGTCCTGAGCCCGGGCAGCGGCGAGCCCAGAGGGGAGGAGGGCTCGTGCCTGCTGACGATGAGCGTGACCGGAAAATCACTCTTTAGCATTCCGTTTTTGTAAGAACAATTAATTTAAATGTCAGTGTCAATATAACGCATTTTGATTCATGACTTCATCTCCTAATTAGACCGAGCACAGAAAGTATTGTACGCCCCTAAGGAGTCCTCTCTTCCTGTGCTCGTTCCCTGCCTGCATCTGGCTAATAAAGGGAATGTGAACATGCGTTTCTGCAGACATCTTCAGGTTCAAAGAGATTCATAACATTTGAAGGCTTCTTTTCTGGAGCATTCCTTGTTTTATGTGTTGTAATACTGCAAATAGAATACCTGTATGGAAGCAGAAGTGCAGCCTTTCAGGTTCTTTTAATGATTATACGTACCATGATACGTTCTACATATCCCCGACTGCATTTAGCGTATCCCACTGAGAATAGTGCCACACTGTGAATATTGTAAACATCCTTAAATCTAGCTTTCTCCATCAAAACCATTTAGCCACACTTTTTTTTTTTTTTTTTTGGCCTGTAAGTGCCATTCAGAAGCTCTTATGTTCTGTTTTATGAGTTGTTCGTTATTAATATATGGTGACATATTAACATCTAGTCTTTTCTTGTTTGTTTATTTCACCTTACTGTTTTTGCAACAAGCTTTTCAGAACTTGTTTTCCATTCAGATTTTGAGAAGAAAAATGTTACGTGAGGTGTGACTCTATGCCTAGAGCAGTTTGCTTGGTTAGTTTGAAAACAGCTTATAAAGCCCTTGTATATATACATTATTTAGCCTTGGTTAGTTAATGGCAAGTAGAAAGAAGTATAAGAACTTAAAATCTTTCAGTATTTACATCATTTAGTCTAACAATAAATGGATTTAAGTGTGGAGTAGTTAGGAAAGATTGTAGTAATGGAAATATTTGTACCACAGAAAGAATTTAAAATTTGCACGTGGGCAGCATATAAAACATATATAATAGCTGACTTCACAAGAGAATAAGACTTCATCTAACTTGAATGTTGTCATTATTGATGTAAATAAAAGCGATATTTGGACAACATTTACGGCTGTAGTTGGAGATGGCATAAAAAAGAATTGCAACTACGTTTGGAAATGTTGAACTGCACTCATCAAGGATAACTGAATTCAGAAAAAGTGTGAAAATGTAGGAGACCTGCTATACCTCCCTCATGATTAATTTATTTACCTTGCAGTAAAGTCTACCTGGGAAACTTCCTGAGGACTGCTGCTCTTCCATGTTGAAGAGCTGATGAGAGACAGAGTGACAAAGCCTGTCTTTTGTATAATGAAGGTGTACTTTGCGATTAGTTTAACAGCAGTAGTCATATAAGGCGAGAACAAATAAAATGTAATGCACGTGCCCAAACAACTTCTGAATGAAAAGCTTCAAATCGAGCTTTAGCAGAGGTTAACCCCCTTGATATCTTCTCAAACTAATTTTAAATGGATTCTGCAATTGTTTTTGTATGTCAACAATGGTTTGTGTACTTATGATAAAAAGCTTGGCTTCAAACACTTCTGTCACCTATTATTATTTCATTTGGAATATATACGTGTATTTTAATTTGATTTTGAGATCTTAGAGAAGATACATATTATTGCTTAGAATAAAATTTGTGTTATTTGTCAATAGCATGTGTTTGGCTAAGTACAAGTTAATCTGTGTAAAGAGGTACCGCACAGGGCACTTCTTTTGGCCCTCTACATCTCAGCAGAAGTATTGCTAATGCCGTGGCTTACGCTGATCCATGCCCAAACGAGGGTTACAGAACGCAGAAATCCTGAGTCCTAAATCAGGTGTAATACTTTTTAGTGGAGAAGGTAAATTTGACAACAGTCTGTATGATTTTTTTTTTTTTTTCCCCTCCTCAGATACCCAAATTGAACCAAAGATTAGCAAAATCCCAAAGAGAGAATGAATGCCTCCAAGAGAAGGTAAAACATCTGACGGTGGTGGCCGACACGGTTGAGCTGAAAACTCAACAGCTTCAAACTTCGCTTCAGCAAGGGAATGAGCTACAAAGTAGGTGCCGTGAACTACAAAAGGAAACGTTAGGTAAGAGAATGTTGACATTTCAAGCAAACTTCCAAGTAAAATGAAATGCAAACCAAAAATTCTTTAAAGCACCCAAGCTGTGGCTGTTACTGTGAAAGCACTCAACAGCTCAACTCAGGCCTGAATAAAATGTGGATGTTGTGCAGTCAGAAAGACCGTATGTCATTCTGAAGAGTCTGTAACCCTGCTGGGAACACGAGTCAGCTGCGTGGGGGGAAAAATGAAGGAAGGGAGAATGAAGATGGTGGTGATATAATTATGCTGTTGCTTGTCAGTCTTATGTAAAACATCAGGGAGAGGGCTCTGAGATTAAAATTAAAAGAAATGCTCTCATTGTGAGTGGAAGGCCAGGCAGGATTTTTGGCCATCAGCAACAGAACTGAAAAATAGGTCAGGCTAAACCGGTCTCTTTTCTCCTAGATTCATTAAACTTGAGTCTGTCTAATGATTTGCCCTTGATAGTTTGTCTCAAGACTCTACAGAGTCCTCTTGCAAACTGTAAGAGCAGTGATAGCACTTCAAATTATAATATCTCGTGAGCTGTGTGGAGACAATAATGCATTGCAAAAATATTCTTTATATTAGTATCTCTTGAATATCTTTTCTTTTTAAAGCAGTATTGCATTCATAGTGCTGGCTCAGAGACATTTTAAGACCTTCAGAATCAAGAGGTGGTGCTGTTCCGGGCACGGTTTTGAGTCATCAGATTGGCACAGTAATTACCAGGCTGCCTTATGCACAGCGTCTAATGTCAAATTTAAGGCAGTAGCACTCGGTGCTAGTCATGCTGAAGGAATTTCCCTGATCTTTCAGTACTAGTGATAATATCAAATGTGAGACTGCAAAGTAGACGACCGCAGATACCATCCGATGAGTTATCAACCCGTGTTGCTGAGGGCAGTCTTTATTTTTGTCACCGTATAACAATACTGTTAGGAAAGCTCCAGCAGTGATGTGTTTGAATGGTGGAAATGAGCAGGTAACTCTACAGCATTTCCCAGACAGTGTCCTTATGAGAAATAGACGCAATATATCTTCCTTTCTGTGGTATTTATTCAAAAAACTAACTTTAAATGAATGCAAATTGGTTTAGGTTTTGCTCTGACGTGATTCTTTTGTGGACTATTCACAGCATTCACTTTTGTCTTTTTTTTTTTTTTTTTTTTTTTAATTGGGGAGTTGCTAAGTGTTCCAGTATCTCAAAAACTTACCCGTGACATTTTTTGGTAGGCTCATTGTCCCAGCGTAGCTGCCTCTTCTTACTTGGTCTTCTGGTCAGCGTAAACTGGCAGGCAGGATTGGGGGAGAGGGGTACCTTAAAAGCGTTCAGCCACTCAGTTCAGTCAGCCACAGTATCTCATTCTGAAGACCTGAGTAAATAGAAAGAAATGCATCAATTCTATTGAAATCTCCTTTTTCAAGACAATCTTGAGCACGCTGTTGGACAGTGTGAAAAATTGTACCTTGGCTTGTATGTAAAAATCCCTAGGAGAGACTTTTTTAGGAAACATGAAATAAAATGCTGGTAGTACATAAATGGTATCTGCTGTGTTCATTTTTTTCAGGAAAAAAAGTGAACAAGCTCAATATTATATGTATAAAATATATACTATGTATTTGAGAAAAGAGCCTGGGTAAAAAAAAATAATAAAGAAGGCAAAATTCCAAATAAGCTTATAACATCACTAGATAAAATCAAATTGAGGAAATTAGCTGGTTGCACTGGTTGACTAAATCATGTTGCCTGTCCCAAGAGCAGGAGGTTACCTGTGACTCCTCATGTTTTACTTGAAACTTGTTTGGAAAAGATGCTAAAAATGCATTCATTTTTGTTGAAGAGACAAGTGTGTTTCTCCTCCATTAAGAAATTCATATTATATCAAAATAATATGTGTAGATGTCTGCCAGCTTTGTCTATTACCATGCCAAGGTCCAAAATTTGGAAATTATATGCTTTAGAATATTCTGTGTGTTTTGTTTCTTAACGTGCACTTTCTGTCTTTACTTACGCTGGAGCAGCCCTAGAGACGGAGCTGAGAGGCTCTTGCTGTACTAGAAATCGCTCAAGCAGATAGCGTCACTCGAAAGACGATAGCCAAGGTGACTGGCTCAAAACCGGCACGAGTGTCGCGGATCCTGTGATAAAGACCACAGCAATGGTTTAGTGTTGTTGATGAAGCTTTGTTTTCTCTGCCGGTAGGGTAGCACTTGGGGAAAGCAAGTGTGTTTGGTCTTCAGTCTGCTCTTGTGCCACGCAAAGAAACTGTCTGCAAGTTCGTTCCTACAGCAGCCTGGATATTCTGCTCGAAGTGCCGATAATGGCAGTGATTCGTATGTCGCTTTGAGGATGATTGTCACAGATACTCTCTTCACCAATTTTTTAGTATGCGCTTGTTACATGCTTGTGTAGTGTCATGTTTTGTTCACACTGTTGCGTTCTTTAGGAAGCGGTGGACCGATGTTGTTGGCAGAAGATGTTGGTTTTGCCCCAACACTCGGCTTTCTTCTGTGTTCAACATAATTGGAAAAACTTATTTCCACTTTCTTTTTAAGAATATCTTATCCTCATCTTCGTATAAATAGACACAAGTACTGATAAGTCATAGCAGTTAGATCACTCATTATTTACCTTTCTCTAGAAATCTGAGTTTCTGCAATGTTCAAAATAGGTCTACCGCCTGCCTGTCTTGAGAAAAACATGATTACATTTGACATGCATTTCTTTTAGGTGGAAAAATTAGTCAAAATAAAATAATCTCAGTGCAAAAATAGCCCTTTCTCAGGAACACTTTGACACTTCATTTGTGTTTAAAAAGTGTTTTCATTTTTTTTTTTTTTTTTTTAATACGAAATACAAAACTCGTGGATGGCACAAATTAAATTGTCAGTGCTGGTGTGCGGAGTGTTGCAGTTCCTCAGGAGCAGTCCTCTGTACAGTTTCCGCGACTGTAGATTTTACTTTTTATAAGGTGCCATGTTCAATATAACTCAGACACTTTTGCACATTACTGAGTTAAATTTTTCTGGGGAAGTGGCTGTATGTGGGCATGTGAAACTGTCTGTGAATGCAGCGGTAGTTCACATGCATTCTTGGGAGCTGGAATGTTGGCACTCGCTGCTGCTGTGGAAAGGCTAAAGTCCATTTAATTCAGTGCACTGTCCTCACCGCTGAAAAACACGGGGTGGTTCAAAGGAGGGAGCAGGAACTCTAGAACACCAATTAGAGGATAATCTATCTTCCTTACATGTCTCGTCTTGATCGAAGAGGTCCTTGAGCCCAATAGGACAATCTTTTAAGCTTTGAAATATGTGGTTTAATATCGTTACATAAGGTATTTGTATCGTTACATTTATGCTTGTATGAAAACTACCCTTAGTTAGAGTTCCCTTTTTGGTTTTGTAAAGCTGTTTTAACTTCAGAGATTCCTGTAAACAATGAGTTCATAGTTTGTTCACATGCATTACAAAAATACACTTTCTTCTTCAGTTTTCCCCACCTTTAACTCCACGGAGAATTGTCTTGTTCTTATGTTAGAAGACCAGTGAAAGATGCACACAGTCTATAATTATTTATTTTTTTAAAGGTTATTAAGTGTGTTACATATTTTTGTGATGCTTGCATGGCTTTCTGGCTCATCTTCTTAAAATCTGAATTTACTTCCCTAAGTTGGCGTGTTGTATCAGTCTGTCTAATCAAGCAGTTAATTATATTTAGGTTCTAATTTCTGGCCATTAATTGATATGCATAACTTAGGGCAATAAGTTAGTATATATGTGAGCACCGCATCATGAGCAGGTCCAGGTGAGCTCACATAGAGCATCTCTACTTCTTGTGCTGAAAAAATCTGAGCTTACAAAAAAGTGCCTGTTCCAGAGGCCCTATTCCAGTCTGGGGATCATCTTGTCTTTTTTGTTTGTTTGTTTGTTTTAAGTATTTCTGTATAAGCAAACTAGGATTGCTCAACATTTCCTATAAGGGGATCACTATTTTCAGTGGCTTAAAATATTTCCAAACTTAACTAATCAATGGTTTTTGCATATTAATTCCAGTAAAAATGGTCATAGCTTTCACAAGGGTGGGATGGCTGGAAGAGTCCTTGGATTTTATGTTTAAATCTGACTCTGCAAAAAGTTTGTTGAAAACACCGTGAACCTTGTGTTCTCTGAAAAAGCACTTTGAGACGGGAGGTTTGACAGTGCTCTTGACCTAGAGAACCAAGTTAGACCGACTCCTCAGCCTTTGAAAACTGAACAGAGGTTTGTTGGTGTGGTGGCTGAGCTCTCGGTGGTTTTGCTTTATGAGTCCCCAGGATGCGAGGGCTGGGCAGCCCCTTCCCAAGCCTGCCGTCTGCCGTGGCGCTGGGCGACGGGACAGCAAACAGGGAGGTTGTCTCCGCCGCGCGCCCCGTGCTGCGCCTGCCGAGCGCCCCGACCGCTGGGGAAGGGACCAGCCTGGGAGGGCGGAGGTTTGGAGGTTGTGACGGGGATATCGGGGAACTGGGCTCACCGACCGCGCTCTAAATGAGCTGGGGAGCACGCGCTGAGCAGGGAAACGCCGGTCCTGAATAGCTGGAGTGCTTTTGTCCCTTGTGGCGACAGACCCAGGCATCCTGTGGGAAAAAAACAGTATGTGATTATATCCTGAATGAATATTTTGTAGTGCATAATTAATAAAGCATGAAAAAATAGCTATTTTTTACATGTTTGTCTGCAGCACTTGCAATTGCTTATCCTGCATCCCAGACTGAGCACCGACGCTCCTCTTCAGTGAGCACGATTAGAACCATTCCCTTTTCGGTTTGAGACCCGGAGTCTACTGTCCCGTTTTCATTTTGAATCATCCCCCAAATCCATGGTCGTTGTAGGGTGTTTTGGAATAGCGTTCACAGAAGGAAACCAGAGTGATGTGCTAAAAGAAAGAACTCGGCTCGGGTAGGATGGCTGTGCCGTGGGGTGGCTGGCGAGAGGGCGCTCTCAGCAGTGTGTGTTAAGAAAGAGCT